AACATGTCCAAAGTACGTTAGATGGAACCTCAGAATCCTTGCCTCCAGGGAGCCGCCTGGTTTAACCCTTTCTAGGATCAATCTGTGTGTTTTCCTAGCAGTCCATGGTACCCTCAATACTCTTCTCCAGCACCACAGCTCAAAGGCATAAATTCTCCTTCTATCCTCCTTAGTCATTGTAAGTGATAGCAAAGACCATGGCATGTATCAGATGCACCTTAGTCTTGAGAGACACCATTGCTCTTCAGTACCCCGGAGAGGTCCCTAACATCAGACTTTCCCATCGCAATACGTCTTTTAATTTCCTGGCTACGGGTGTCAAGAGTGTTGATTATGGAGCCAGTCAAACTAAAGCTATGAAAATCTCAATCTTTTCACCATCCGTCCTGATGCTTCCAATTGGTCCAGTGGTGAGAATCTGTCTTCTTGACATTGAGCCTCAATCCATATTGGAGGCCACAGTCCTTGACCCTCTGCAGCAAGTGCTTCAGGTTCTCCTCAGTTTCAGCAAGCAGGGTTGTGTCATCTGCATAACGCAGACTGTTGATAGATCTTCTGTCAGTCTTGATCCCACATTTCTCCTCATAGAGCCCAGCCTCCCGGATAATCTGTTCTGCGTACAGGTTGAAAAGGTATGGAGACAGGACACATCCCTGGTGTACGCCCTTCCCACTTTTGAACCATGCAGTGTTCCATTGCTTTGTTATGGCGACTGCCTCTTGGTCCCAAGTATAGGTTTCTCATTAGCACAATGCAGTATTCTGGGATTCCCATTCTTCTCAGAGTCAGCCACAGTTTGTTATGATCCACACAGTCAAATGCCTTTGCATAGATAATGAAACACAGATATACATTCCTCTAGTATTCCCTGCTTTCAGCTAAGATCCATCTAACATTAGCTACAATATCCCTAGTATCACCCCTTCTAAACCCAGCCTGGACTTCTGGCAGTTCTCTGCTGATGTGGATACTACGTATGTAGTAGACATGAAACAAATAGTTATTGAATAGACAAAGAAAAACCCATTATTACTGGAAATTCATTTCTAATACAACCTGCTTAGGTATAATTTTCTAACTTCTTCTCTGCTGGTCAAGTCCTTTTAATATGTCCTAGAATCTTATTCTTAACAAGATAAGGGAAAATGAAACAGAAGAAAACCAGCCATCCTTGCACCTCTTTTTAGCTACAATTTACTTCTTCCTCTCTTTTCTTCCAGACTTCATAAAGCATTAAACTCTATTCTACCAGTGTGTGCATCTTCCTCCCCACTCAGCGAAGCATTCTTGGTCTAATCACCTCATGGATTATGGGTTTTTTTTAAAATTATACTAGTTTATTTACAAAATTTTTCAGACCATATTCTTACAATTTCCATCACCCTCCGCCCATCAAATTCTACAACCCCGTGATTAATCCTCCCTCTCCCCCCTGCACATCCTCACCCCTCTGCTTCCACCCTCCCCACCCCCTTGAAGCCTTATACTCCTTCTACATTGATGATTTTAGACAGTATTTGTCCTTGTGGGACTGAGTTAGGTCACTCTGCATAATGCTCTCCAGTCCCTCCCAAGTTAGATAATAATTTACAAAATTATTGCTCCTGTATGCTTCATAGTATTCCATTGTGTGAATGTACCATAATTTATCAATCTGTTCAATTATGGTTAGACATCTGGGTTGTTTCCATACCGCTGCTATGAACATTGATGTACAAGTCTTCATTTGTGCCTCTGTTCTTTTTCTCAGGGTATATTCCAGGCAGTGGAATAGCTGGGTCATATGGAATTTCTATGTCCAGATTTTTGAGGAAGCACCAAATTGCCTTCCAGAATGATTGCACTGGATAGTGTTTTGAATAAGTATATCCCTTACTTTATAATTGCTAAATCTAGTAGGTATTTTCGGTCCTTATTTTAATGAATCTGTTGGCTTTGTTTGACTAATGTCATTGATCACTGCCTTCTCTCCTGACTTTGGATTCTGTTCACTCCTTTCCTCTGGTTCTTGGTATATTTCTTTGATTGTTCTTTCTCTGCGTCGTTAGGGATTTCCCCCACTCTATGTGCCTTATGCTTATTATTATTATTGTTACGTGCCATCAGGTTGCCTGTGACTCATAGCGACCCTATGTACAACAGCCCTGAAATCTACCTTATCCTGTGCCAACTTTACTGTCTCTGACACACCTACCCTCATTACTCATTACCTCAGTCACTGTATCAATCTACCCCATTCATGGTCTTCCTCTCTTTCTCTGTCCCTCCACCCTTCCAAGCATGATGTTGTTTTTTTGGTCGTTTTGGTTTTTTTGGGTTTTTTTTTTACAATTTGGAAATCTCATTTATGACTATAAACAACAGAATGTTTGAATAAATTGTGGTATATTCACATAATGGAACATCATAAACTGGCAAAAAGAAATTATCTAGCAGAACAGATATCAACATGGATTACTGAAAAATAGTACTGAGGGAGAGAACAAGTCCAAGAAGATTTATAAATGTATATCTGAAGTTCAAAAATATGCAAAAGTAAGCAGTTTCTAACTTGGAAATGATACATCAGAGAAAAGCTATAAAAATGAAAGTTATAAACACAAAATTCAGGTAGTTATAACCTTTGGTGAGAGAGAAAAGTAGAAAATGTTATGAGAAAAGACATAAAACAAGATGCAAAGAAATTCCCGACAGTACTCAAAATGCCTCAATTTTTAGTGTCTGATGTGCATATAGAAGTTCATTATACTATCTTACTTATATGTACTTATCATATTATTTGGTATTTTCCCATACTCTTTGCTAACATTATAATTAAAAGGAAGAGATTCGTCTTTGATCTTCCTTACTCATTGTCTAACTGATGTCTAAGAAACAATTGAGAACTCCGTGGCTTGTCTTAGGTGCACCTTTGTTTTTAAATTGACATCAAGTTCTTTAGTACTTTAAAGGAGTCCTTGAGGGCTTATTTCCCCAGTGTAGCAAGTCTTTTGATTTCTTTCTTTTTTAATTTTGTCTTGATTTCTTGATTGCTGATGGTGGATCCAAGTCAGATGAAATCATTATCAGCTTTAATCATTTCTTTATCTGTCATGATGTTGCCTTTTGTTCGAGTGGTGAGGATTTTTGTTTTCTTGATGGTGAGATATCATCCAAATAGAAATGAACTAGTCTTGGAAATGTGCCTTCTTGATAGTTTGTCTTTCTTGATACTAAAGCATGATAACATAGCTGGGTGTTTTATTATTGTGCATTTAACTCTAGGATGCAACTTTCTGGACAAGTAAAATCTTTATCTGGGTTCTCTAGAGGAGCAAAATCAGTTTTATCTGAGTAACTTCAAGGAAATGACTCATCCAATTGTGAACCTGTCAGACCCCTAGACTACAGGTCTCCTGGCTCGAAGAATTGCAAGAGCTGGTGAATCTAAACTACACAGGTCAGCTGACATGCTGGAGACTTCTGCAGACAGGCATCCCAGGAAGTAAAGGTTAGGGGGTAAGAAGAATGCAGGGCCAGAGTTTGTGACTTGCCAGAACATCTGTTTGCATTCTGGAGGCAGACCTCCAGGAAACTGCACTCAGCTGATTCACTGACCACAACATGGGAAGTGGTTACATCATGTTTATTATCACTCACACATTGCCATGAAGACAGAAACTACTCACTGCAGACCCTCCACCAGGTTTTCTGAGATTGTAAATCACACTAGAATAGATTGCTCGTCTTTCTCTTGAAAACCTGCCAGTGGATTCGAACCACCAGAGAGGCGTGCCCTTTGGGTTAGCTGCACAACTCCCTGCAGGTTATTACATTATTATGTTATGGAAGAACAACTATACATCTGCTCCACAGAGACCCTTAGCCAAGCAAAGTTAACACGTAACATTAGCTATCACCAAGAGGGAATATCTACTTTTGGTGATTTCTGGTACACTTTTATACCAGCACATCATTTCTGAATTATGTGCTTCATTTTCTCGAACTTTGCAAAAGCCACTCAATGTGATCATCTTCCATGAAAGAATATTTAAAGCTGATTATAACTTCAGGGTGTTTTTTCCATTCTTGCATAAACCATAGTTTTCAATTATTTTAGCATCACCATACATATGAGCTGCACAGAGGTGCCGGATGATTTCATTCCATCACACGCCATTTGCTTTTGGAGAGGCCTTTTAGAGGGTGATAGAATGAAATATAAGGCTTTCACTGTTTGTTTGTTAGAAAATATGCTTTTAACCTACCTTCTTTTAGGAAACCTTTAAAAGTCACAAGTTAGGAATAAATAAATACAACGTTATTGCATCTTTTTGCAGCTGCTTTGACTTGGTAGATAAACTCTGTATATATTAAAGAAACCTTTGGAAGGAGAAAACCGAGATCCTGCACTTTTAAAATTTTCAGTGATGCTGTGCCCTTTAATTTCTACCTCTATAACCTAGGACTTACAGATACTGTCTAAAGAAGTATATTATGTGTGGAATATTTTTATGTGTGAGAATTCTTCCTCACTGATAACATAGAAATGGTAAAAAAAGTATGCAAAGTTGATGGAAATCTGAAGGTGTATTTTTGTATGTTTTAATGTAATGCTTAGTTTTTCAGTGTGGCTTCAGCCCTGTCATTACACACGGCAAAAATGTAATGGATGTGTGTGAGGGAGAGTTTCTGATTCTTGCCTTGGGCAAAATTAGCTAATGATATTCATTCAGATGCAGCATAGTACAAATGGGGCATATTAAGAGGCTTAAATTAGGTCAAATTGAATAATTGAATTTATTCTTTTACTTAAAAACAGCTTAATCAGCTGAGAGTGCAGAAGTCTTAAAAAAGCTTAATTAATTATTAATAAGGAGTTTATGTTTTCAACTTTATCTTCACTGAAATGACTATTTTTTTCCCTCCTTTTTTGCCTCTTCTAGCTACTTGGAGATGAAGTTCAACCCTTCTCACTTGATGAAGACTTTGATTATGACAGTGTGACGCTAACCCCCAAGTTCACGTCTGCAGAAATGGACATCCTTAAAGAGCTATCCAAACAAAAGGAAGAGAACCATGACACAGACTCAGAGGGACCCCATGCCTGATTCACTAAGCCTTCTCTGTCCATATTCTTATTTTCCTCTTATAGAAGCACAATTAAAATAAAAACCAATCCCTTTTGTGTCATTTTAGATGTGTGTATTCATCTGGCCAGTTATTTGTCAATAAAGAGTCCAGTGACCAACAGGAATAACACTTTTGGCTCTCACAGAGATCTCTGGTGCCCTGTTGGTGACGGTGGAGTCACAGAGACCTCTGATACTCTGTTGACTGGTTGGTGATGGTGGAGTCACAGAGACCTCTTGGACCATGTCTCGCTGCATCCCATAATTGTTTGGGAAGGGTGAAGGTATGAAATCAGACAAGAAACAGTACCCACTGAATGGCCCATCTTTTATTTATTTACTTTTTAAAATTTATATTGATTTGCTTACAAAGTCGTACACAATGTGTTTCATGCACTCATTCCTATTATGTTTTATGAAATGAATCACCATTGGATTTTGCCCAATATTACCTTGTCTTTTCAGGACCCTGCTGGATCTTTTCCGTTTTCTTTCCCCTCTCCTTCCACTCACCAAATTGTGCAACTCTCTGATTTTGGCCCTACCCCTCCTTACCCTCTGCTCCCACCCCTTCCTTCCTTGGATCCCCATGTGTGTTTTACTAGTTACCCTTCTATTTTTTCAGTAATTGTCTTATGTAGTTTTTGTCCTTAGGAGACTGAGTTCGTTCACTCACTGTAATGTTCTCTAATCTTTCTCAAATTATGTAGTAATATTTTTAGAAATTGTTGCACCTGAGTGCTGCATGAATGGTCCATCTTAATAACAGCACAGCTGTAGTTTCTGTACGTATCATAACAAAGGTTAGAGACGTGAACCCAGCTTCCTGAAGGTGAAGAACAATTGCACATGTAGGTCTTAGGGAGAGGAAGTGCTTACTTAGGGAGACCGCTGGCTGCATCTGTCCAGAGGTGGTGGCACATGTTTGGGTGCTGAGAGAGATTGGGTTTCTGGGCTTAATTGGGCAAGCCATCCATGAATGAGGGAGCTTTGCTGGTCTTGTGTGCTATATCCTCCATTCTCTAGCCAGGAGGAAGGTTTTCAAGTGGAGAAATAAGATCAGAAATATATTTTAGAAAAAGTGAGAGTGGGGTAAAATGAGGAGATGTGAGATTAAACCAAGATGACATGTCTAGGGGTTGCTGGACTTGTTGGGACATCAGAGGCTAAATAAAAGCAGAGTGAATGAAGGAGAAGGACATGGGTTTGATTAGAGATGTGGAGCAGGGCTAACAAGGATTATTGACTGATGCAGTGTGGGCATGCAGAACAATGTGAGGTGATTGCTGTTAGCATCCAGTTGGCTCTGATCTATGGGCCTTCATGTACACGACAGAACTAAATGTTGCCCGTTCCTGTGCCTTCCTCATGATTAATAGGCTCCTGTCCATTGTTATGGCCACTGTTACTCTGAATTCCATCCATGCTAGGCGGCTCATCTTCTAGCAGTATATTGGACGTTAACATGCTGTGAGCCATGGGCTTTGCATGGCTAATTTTAGAAGCAGATTGCCAAGTCTTTCTTACTAGGATGGAAGCTGTACTGAAGCCTGCCTACTATGGGTGACCCTGCTGGTATTTGAAATATTGGTGACATAGTGTCTGGTATCTTAATATACAAGACACTGCTGTATGCCAGACTGACAGGTGGTGATGATAAAATATGATTTGAGCATGTGGTCTTCTGCACAATGAGCTGACTGTGAGAAACCACATTTGCTATACAATTGTTCACAGGACAAGCAGCTTTCTTCTGACTTAAAGCATTTTGGTGTTTAATTTTTTAGAAATCTTTTTTTATTACATTGTTGTTGAGAATATACAGAGTGCAATATAGACCATTTCAACAGTTTCTGCATTTACAATTCAGTGGCATTTATTACAGTCTTTGAGTGTGAGCCACCGTTCTTACCCTCCTTTTCTGAATTCTTGCTTCCCACTAATATATATACACTGCCTCCCAGAGTTCCTAGCTAATCTACCAAGTTGTTATAATCTGACCTCTTTTTAGTAGTTCTTAAAACAATGTAATAAGGGGGAAACTTTTTACTAAGTAAGCTATTGTTCAGTTTAAGACTTCAGGGAAACTTTCAATGTAAGGTTTAATGATTATTCTAAGACAGTAGTTTCTAGGGTTCAACCAGCTTTCATGGATCTGGAAAGTCTGGATTCCATGAGATTTAGAGATCATGTTCTAAATCTACCCCATTTTGATCACTATTCTATGTAATCTTTGACTAAAATAAAAAAAATGACATCAGCAGTATTCCATTCTTTTGGTCAAAGAAGGCACTTGTTTGTGCCAGTGTTTAACCACATATTCCATTTTCTCCAATGCTTTGGTAGTTTAAATACCATGAAAAATCCCCATTTTTAGACTTTTCATTGTATTGACCTAAATAGCTTTATTAATAGAAGAAATGAGGCCCTCTTTGAAAATGTTTTCCCTGAAATCTCCTCTGTAGTATTGAATGATTTGACATGGCAGGGCAGATGGCTGACAAATGTTGACAGAGTATCCTCTCTGTAGGGGTGGTGTACTGGGTTTCGGCTTCATTCCTTTTGGCAATTTTTAATCCCTTCGTTATCTGGGACAATGATAATTACACTGAAAGTAATTCTGAAAAAATAAGTCCCTTAAAGCCTTTAAATGAAATTTTCTTGACTTGACTGGTCTATTATTTTCTCCCTAACCAGCAAGCACATCTGTCTGTTTTTCAGCCTGGAGATCTGTAGAATCAATGGAAAGAATTTGTTTGGTGTTGGCTGGCAAACTCTACCCAAGAACCTTTAGAAGAAGGCTGTGCTGATTTTGATAGATGACATTCTCCTGTGTTAGGTAGTTGCAGCATGAAGAGTAGAAAATTAGAAGTGTCTAGGTATATAAATAAAAGTGGGAGGTTACGACCAGGAAAATTTTAAAATAATCTCCAAAAAGCATGGCAGTAGCAGTATAATGCAATGTGAACACAAATTTCCCTTCAATCCTGCACCAGCTGTCCTTATTCGGTCCATGTAGTACCATGTGGAATTTTTTTCCTCACTCATTGCTGTAGTATTGGGTCCCATCCCATAGCTGTCTTTCCAGCAGGTTTTAAGAAAGTAAATATCACTTCTGCAGAACAGCTAATACATTTGCCTTTGAATTGTCAGCACAAATTTATCCACAAGGCCACCATATCACAATCCATCTTATGCAGAGTGACTCAAGAAGAACACATACTAAGCTCTTATATTTCCAGAACTCCGGTGGCCTAGAGCATAGGGACTTACACTGCCATCCCAAAGGTGGCCAGTGCAAACCCACCAGCTGCTCTGGGTGGAGAAAGATGGGCAGATTCCTCCCATGTGATTTACAGCCTCTGAACGCTTGCTGGAGGATCAGTTAGGAGTCAGTTCCAACAGGATGGCATGAGTTTGAGGATTCACCCCCGCCATGGATGATATATAGCACTGTATTCTGCTTGAAAATGATAACTTTTTGCATGTAATAGTTAGCTGTGTGGTTTAATGTAAATGTGAAAAAGATAGTTAAAAGATATTAATTTCTTTTTTTTTGTTATTATTTGAAAGCTGATGGGAAGTGAAGTTAGTAGTCTGAGTAGTTACATGAAAGCTTTTTAAAAAGTAAATATTGTGATTTGAATGGAAGTCTACAGAGAAAATTGGCTTTTCATTCACCACATTATGTCTGTGACCTTGGTTACAATCTCCATATTTAACAGTATTCATCTTGTTTCTTCCCTGAGTTTACTTTTTTTCATTTGTCCTTCTGAACTTTATCCATGGGTAAATGTGACCCTTCTGATCTTATTTGTTTGATTATTCTGCGAAGTGTATTCCTCACTGGTGTTCTTGATCACTTCAGCCTGTATAGGTTTATTGAAAGTTGAGGCACAAGGCTGATTTCAATTCCAGGCTTGAAGGGTGATGAAGTTTGCAGTCTTGAAGGTTCCACCAGTCTCTCTTTGGTCAATAAGCATGATCTTTTCTATAATTTTGAATGTTGCTCCATACTTGTGCCACGCCTCATCCCTACTCTGTTAGGACCTTTTATTGTGTGTTATCCCTTTTCGAGTCCCCACCAGAGACAGCTAAGCGCCATCTCATTCTGATGCCAGAGTTGTGGAGAAGGAAGTTCATGTATCGTCCCATAGCCCTCTGGACTAATCGTTTGGTTTTCTTCACTTTGCTCTTGGCCAGGAGTGAGCAGTAGATGCAGCTGAGATGAATGCTTGCAAGTTTTTAAGATTATAATAACAATGTATCAAAACAGGATGCAGAATTTTGTATTTGTGGATTATGTTATGCCAATTGACCTTGATATTGTCCGTGACTATGATCCCAAGATTCCAGACCCAGGACAGAGATAATTTTATCTTCATTTTTCTAGAAGCATTTTTCTCCACTGTAGCTAAAAGAGGAACACTCTTTACCATGTCCTACTTGGCCATTACAAAATTTGGCCCCTCCCCAACCTCTTCTATCTCATCTCATACCATTCTTTTCCCTTCTCATGTTCTGACAAGCGTGGCTTCTTTTTTTGTTTCCATAATTCTCTATTTGATTTTCATCTCCCAGGATCTTCCTGCCTACAGTGTTCTTCCTCTAGTCATCACATGATCTTTCTCATTCAGACCTCAGGTGAAATGCATTCCTCCTAACTCCTGCTTGAATTGATTAGGAGAATTGGAACCAGCATTTTAAGTCAGTTGGAGTGTGAGCGTCTTAGTTGGAAAGGTGCTCTTGAGTTGCACCACTAACCCAAACGCTCTGCTCTCTCGTGGTTCCATTTCACCAACTGCTCTGCAGGAGCAAGCTAAGCGGGTTACAGCCTTGGAAACACGAGGGATCATCAGAGTAAGTTGGAATTACATTGAGCTTGGTTTGTTTTTAGTTTTTAAAAAGTAACTTGTCAGGTCTTTCTTCCTAGAGACCCCTGGGTGGACTTGAACTGCCAACTTTTTAACAGCTAATTT